GTGTGATGAGGACAACGTTCAGGTGCTACCACAACAAATGTTTGGTCAATATTTGTAAAATTGACTTAAGCAGAACCATTTATGTGTTTATTGAAGTAAGCTGGCTGGGGCGGCCATCTTGAATTGGATTGTCTCTGAAAGTTAATCATTTGTAGAAGTAGATCCATTTATTCCTGAAAGTTTCGTTCAAAAGCAACCAGTAGTTTTAGAGACACACAAGTAGAAACACAAGCAAAAATGTTWTACAGTAACTTGTCTTTGCCTTTTTCTGGCTGGTGATTAAAAGTCCAAACACACACACACACACAAACACACACAAAGACGTGCCCTGCAGGTAGGTCATTGTGACGACACAATCACAGCTGCATCCACAGACACTCTCATCTGATTTATCTTCAGCTGTCACTCTCACACACAAGAGTAAATCTGAATCAGCCCGCAGGGACGTCCCGTTTCTGAGACCACCCAATGCTGACGGCTGGCGACGTCACAAAGATCAAGGGGGATTTGAGCTGACAGTGTTAGGCAAGTTACATAAAATCAGTGAGCATGATGACGTTCTCTACAGAAGGCGACGACAGGCAATAATATCAGCGTTGTGTTTCTGTTATGTTGGTTAATTCCAGAATAACAGAGACCTTCACTAACCATCGCTGTCAGTTTATATAAACTTAATCTAACCCAATCTGTCTTTGAACTGCAAGGACACAACAAACATCTTCAGAAAGCAGCTTCTCGCAGCACATTTACATTTCAGCTGCAGTTTGTTCACAAATGACCCAAAAAWCGTGTTTGCTGCTATTTCTGCCGTTTGACTTTTCAGACCCGTTTTCAGTTGTTTTTGTTTTTTTACAGGAAATATCTTTACCGAGCACCTTTATCACACTTTCTCCACAAAACCGATTATTTCCCATAAGGCGGAGCGTGACTCACCAGCATATTTCTCGGGTTGTGTTGGAGAGAGATTGCAGTGTTTATCCCTTTCAGCACATTCAGAACAGATCATGTTCATGTAAAATCACGTCAGATGACGGGAAACAAGAGGCCAGTGTCAACAAACAAACTGCAGTCAGTAGAAAATGTTTTGGGGGAAAAAAGTTAGAAGTTTCTTTTGCAACCTAACATGATGGCTCTTCCTTGAAAATACTTTGTGTTTTTTTTTTCTCGTGTCATCAGAAAACATAACTGTTGATGATTAGAAAAACTGGCACAGCTTCAAATTCCAAAGGAAAAGTAAACCAGGAATAAAAAAATATTACTGATTTAAGGTGGGGAATGGAGAGGCGAATGAAAGTAAAAGCTTATTTTGAGGAGTGATATAGTAAAAAGTACTTAAAAATAGCTAATGTTGGAGAAGGTATTGATCAATTCTTTTTGCTTCCACGCCTCTTCACTTTGAGAAACCAGGGGTTTTGAGCAAAGTCAGCCGGTGTTCGTCACTTACGATGCACTTTAAGAAAATGTCTGCACTTAGCAAGAGGCATGCAAAGCTAATGACTTCAGCTAATGTCCTTATCTTGCTTGCTTGCTGACAAAAAAATGAACTCATCCACTGTTGCTGATGTGGCAGACAAGTGGACAGAGACGGGGGAAAAGCACAGATTCAGGGGGGCTGTGATCGCTGAATCAGATTATACGCTGTCATCAATATGTATTCTGCTAAAATGATGAAGTTTGTTCTCTGCGTTTTACTCGTCGCTCAAGCAGAGCGGTGGGCAGCTACTGAAGCAACCAGGCAACATTTAAGGGATATGTGACATGCTAGAGCTGGGCGATATGATCAAAATTTTATATCACGGTATTTTCAACATTTTCACCTGTTTCACGGTATTTGATGGTATTTTTCTTTTCATCACAGCTCAGCTGATAATAAAATGTACAAACCCTGCTCATTGACTTTTTTCTTTTACTGTACCTCTGTCTGTCTCTGTTTCCCTCCTCTGTGTCTGTTCTTCTCTGACTGGTGGTTGGAGACAGTAGTCACGCATTTTGGTCCAGTCGTGAAGGAGGAGGGTTAAGAAAAGATTATGATCGGGTTTTTGTTTTATGTTATTTATTAAAGCTTATCAGCACGACTCACCTTGAACACCAGTCAATTCCAACTCCACTACGAACTACTTCCCGCAGGCTTTTCACAATAGAACCACGTTAAGTCTCCATCAGCATAACATCTCCACATTAACTAACCGCGTTAAATCTAACTGTGCACGTCACTGAAGAGGTGTTTAATACATTCAGCGACGGTGAAAACGGGATGTTTTTTTTAAACGTCAGTCAATATAAGCAGCGGAATCGCCACCCGCGGCTGCAACTAGCTGTTCCAAACATTAGCATGCTAACGCACATAGTGGTGCAGCAAGAAAAAATGTCCCCCGGGAAACAACAGTTCACTGGCGGCCGCGACGAAACGTTCCGCTATTTAAACCGGAATGTCCGGTATTCAAAAAATTCATATCATAACAAAAATAAAAACTGGTATTCGGTACAAAATGGTATACCGCCCAGCACTATGACATGCTCTAGCAAACTTCAACATATGGGTATGGTGGGGTATCAGGGGTAGACATAAGGAAATTTTTCAGGTTGTCCACCTGTTGACAAAACCTGGCTGTCTGCAAAACATTTTGGTTGTCCAAAAGAATCTCAAGTAAATTGTGATTTAACAAGTATATTGTTCTGTAGATGAAGTTTATTATGTATAATTGCTCTCAGTCAGCCAGGTTGACAGGAGCTGCATGAATAAAATTTCCTCATTCTCTTCTTTGAAATAGAGTTCAGCATTCATAAGCTTCTTTCTGCTCATAGGTCAAACATTTTCATGTAAATAGGAGTATACTGTGTACATGACCTTATTAAAAGTTACAGTTTAGTGTTCTGTTCGGATTTACCAAGTTTTTTCTCCCGCTCATGTTTACAATGACGAACACCCGCGGCAGAGAACTTTAATCAAGGTCTTTTTGTCCACCAGACAACCAGGAGACAGGATCTGGTTGTCTGAAATGAAAATAGGTTGTCTCGGACAACRTAAACAAGGGTTATGTCTACCCCTGGGTGTCAAACCTGCGACTGCTGCACCACAGTTGCTCCATGCTAACACTTTATTGGTGAAACTGAACACATAAGGAAACATCTTTTGATATTGATTCTGGTGGACACTTTTACTTGTTTTAATGACTTCCTGTTGGACAGTGTTTTACTGGATTCATGTATAACTGGGCACAGAATCCACCATCTGTGCGTTTAAAAGCTGCTACAGGAGAATCAGTTTGAGATATAATAAACTATGTGATAAACACTGACAGCTGTGATCAATAATGTTAAAGTAAAAAAGAGGATAGATGCTTGCACGCGTGTGACTCTTACCCCCAACTAACCAGACCAATTATTATGCAGGCTACATTTAGTGTGAGTGTGTGCACAGGTTTTGTACATCGCTCAATGTGTGTGATAAGGAGCTAATCTCAGAGGAGCAGGTGATAACTGCAGAGTGATTATTGATTCCTCAGTGTTTCTGAGCTGCAGAGTCAACAATAGGACCACATTAGCATCATCACCAAGAGACTGAAATGTCTCAGGTGTCTGTATTTCACCTAATGGGTTGGTGGGAATGACGTGTGCATTACAGGAATTATTACCCTGCTGTCGTAGCATTTACCGAAATCAGCTGTTTGTGATTTTTAGCAGCATTCAAACCTCTAAGCAGATCTAAATACAAATGAATAAACTAATGTGTTTTTGTTGTTTTGTAGAGAGACACCAAAGGCCAGTTCCTGTTGGACCATGTGTGTAATTTCTACAACTTGCTGGAAAAAGACTACTTTGGTATTCGTTATGTGGATCCTGAGAAACAAAGGGTAAGTATGAGAAAACAATCAAAGGTTCTCACTTTTCATTTATATTCATTATTATCCTGTAACAGTTGATAGAAAATTAAATATAATGCTGCATTTGTCACTCAAATCTTGATTGTATAATTCAGATAATTGTGAAAATATTCTTGTTTTTAATGATTAAATTTAGATACTTAGTTTAATAGTATTTTACTACTGAAACCTACAGTAGATTATGTCTTTATGGGAACATTTTTGTTTTCACTCACTTTTTCCTTCTTTGTCTATCTCAGCACTGGTTGGAGCCCAATAAGCCTGTGGTGAAGCAGATGAAGTGTAAGTGTCCCTTTGTTTTCTTTCTCTTACGTCAGTGTGTTTGTATCTTTAACAAGAAGCCAACATGTGTGTGTTTGTGTGTGGATYCACTTCCTTTGTGCRTCTGTCTCTTGAGGGTTGTTTAGATTTGAGAAGTCCTGTCACAAGCAGACACCCCCACAGGGACTGTAGCCAGGTCAAAACAGCCTCTGCATACAGTGATACACAAACATAAGAACACTGCATGTTTTGTATAAATAAAATTACTCCACAGTCGTTTATGATTCCTGTTGGACAGACAAGCTTTAGAGAGCTGAGGTTTTAGGTAGTATCACCCATCCTTCCTGCTGGAACTGGTGACGGTGATCTGACAATGTCTGACTGTGTCAGACCTCAGGGACACAAACTACTCAGAGTGTCGCAGGTACCTGGGATCCAAAAAGGAAATGAACTTATATCAGTCGAGTCCCTTTAGTCCACATGCCAAACTCAAAAGCCAACATTTCTTTTTACTTTATTTAATATGAAAATAGTTTTTTTTATAGCAATTGATTCAATATAACAAAAAAGAAAACACATTAAAATGGTGAAGGATAATAATACTTGTTCTGCCCCTGAGTATTTGGCTTTGAGTAACCATGGTCCTCTAAGCTATTTTGTTAAATAGTACTGCAGTGATGTATCCAAATAAGTCAGCATTGGCCATTAACTACATCTCCTATAATGCATGTCAGTTTTGCATGGGAATTCCCTGTAGGAAAGTGGGACTGTTCAGAATTCAAGACTTATCACAAATCAACAGTGAGTAAAACTCTCTTACTTTTATTTTTAATAGTATTTCTGTATTATTTATTTCACATTTAGTTAGGCGTACGTGTAGTACTTTTCAGTGTTTATTGGTGGTTAAAACACTGTTTCTATGCATGAAATACCATGTAGAGCTTGGTTATTGTTTGTTAGTGGTGCTCAGCCGCAATGAGACGTGATGCTTTCTGTTTAGTCAAAGTAAAACATGAACCATTGAAGTGAATTACACCTGGCCCTTTAGGGTCAACATATAACACTCGTGGCCCTCTGTGAAAATGAATTTGACACCTCTGCTCTAGTCGCTCACGCTGCACCCCACCAACCCCCCC